CAATGGGCAGATACTCAAATAAAAATACATGATCCTATATCCAGTTCCTAGGCCTGAGCCAGTCCAGAATGAACCCATTGACTGGAGACAAGACAGAGTCTTGGGGGAGAAGGGTCCTCTGTCACTATGGCAGGACATTGCATTGAATTTCCCCAGGGCTTTTATAGGTTGCTACATGGTGGGAAAAGTAAATACTCGAACATTTCAAGCAATTCTCATTTCAGCCCCCCAAATACCTGCTACCACAGGAATATACCATTGTACCTAACTTATTTAGACATCTTAAGAACTGTTTTACACAGGCTCTGGGGTTAACATTTATTACCAGTGCTCAAAATATTATGTTGGGTCCTTATTAGCACAGAGGCATGGAGGCCAGGTCAGATGACATCCTGACACAGATGCAGCTCACAGTACATGTGCTGAGCCTTAGACTTAGTGGTCATTTCCTGGGTCCCAAAGTATACCATTGAAAAGGAACGCTTGAGGGTTGGCAGAACATTTCCATTAATTATTTGAAAGAAAAACTACATTCCAAAGAAAGAAAGCTGATGTCTCTGCCAGTGCCTATACCCTGTCCCAATACAGTGTCTAAACAGTGTGATAACTGAGGGAAAGGGAAGACATGAGCGTCTTCATTTTTATTGCTGTGGAAAAAACACCATGCCCTAGGCAAACTATAAAAGAAAACATTTGATTTTGCGGTTCACAGTTCTAGAGGGGAAATCCCATTACCATCATGGTCGGAGGCATGGCAGCAGACAGGAGGGCACAGCATTGGAGCAGTGGGTGGGAGATTATATTTGATCCAGAAACATGAGGCAGGGAGAGGAAGAGGGGAAGAGGGGAAGGGAGAGGGGGAGAGAGAGAGGGTGGAAAAGGTAGAAAGAGATGGGGAGAGGGAGAGAGAGGATGAGGGTAGAGAGGGAGAGGAGAGAGGGAGAGGGGAAGAGGGAGAGAGAGAGGACAAGGGTAGAGAGGGAGAGAAGGAGAGAGGGGGAGAGAGGGAGAGAAGGAAAGAGAGCTAACTGGGAATGGAATGGGCTTTTGAAACCTTAAAGCCTTCTGCCGCCACGACACACCTCCTAATCTTTCCCAAACAGTTCCACCAACTGGGTACCAAGTATATACGAGCCGATGGGGGCATTATTATTCAAACCACAGAGACAAGGTGTGGAAAGTCAGAGACAAGGGGTTCTCAGGAAGAGGTACGTGGGAGTGTACTCAGAAGGTAGGAGACCTGGTTTGCTGGGATACTCAAGAACATCTACAGCTGACTGAACAACAGAGATGAAATGACATTTCAGTCAGAGCTCTGACAACAGCCAGCTCTGTCGCCATCCTCCCCAGTACTCATGACCATCCATGGAAGGTCCACTCCAAGTAATATGGCCTCTCACAAGTAAAACTGCCAATTATTGGCTCAGGCAGACCGTTAGAACAAGGCCAACACTGAGTTCCAAGTTTGGCACCTGTCCACTATATAGATTTGCTAACAAGTTGACTACATCTAACTATCTCCACCAAGGAAGGAGAACCTCATCTTGACTGAAAGAAGATTCTTCATTCCAAGCGTAATTTTCCTGCCAAGTCTCCCCCAGACCCGTCTGAAAGCTCCTGCAGGGCCATCTGATTGTTGTGGGATTTCAATTAGACGAGGGTTTTTCTGTACAGCTAAAGAGATGCAACAGTAGGTGTAAGGCCGTGGGACTCACTGGTCCTATATATCATCCAGAACTTTCCAGCCTGATGAAGTTCTCGAAACAGCAGTTAAAGGGTACCAAGACCTGCAAGAACAGAATGCCACTCTCCCACTACACTACGCCTCTCAAGCCTGGAGCTCATGCACTGTGCTGAGTGCCGGTGCAGCCATAGCTCCAGGACGCGAGAACTGGAGGTAGAAACAGGCATGATGCTGGAACTCCTGCTTCATAAACCAGAAGAGCCTATCCCTAAAACTCTAAGGCTCTGTGGTTTGGGGGTCCTGGTCTCCAGAGCAATCATGTTTCTACTGGGCATCTCAGAAAGAAACTCATTAAATTTCAAATCATGGCTGGCATTTAGTTATATCAACCTCATGCCCTGAGAACAGCAGACAGGGAAAAGGCCATCATCTTGGATGGTAAGTTTACTCCTATGGATGAACTGACCCAAAACACTCAAATGTTACAATTTAGGATGAAGGAATAATTACAGTATACAGATGCCATAGCAGTGCATTTCTTTATGCTTCCCTGCCCAGCTATTTAGATGGTAAATGAACACAGCAGCCACAGCCTGAAGAGAACCTCGGAGTGATGGGCTCAGACTCCTCAAGACTGAAGTCTGCTCACCTCTCCAGAGAAGTCGCCTATACCAGGACAGTTTTGAGCTTTGGAGGCAGTAACTTACAAACAGCAGTAAGAAAGACAATGTGAGTAAGTTGACGCCTCAGAGCCAGCTGTGGGGGTAGGGGGGTGGCGTGGAGCTATAGTTTTCCAATCACCTGCTCTTTGTGCATTTATCAAAGAATTGAGCCCAAGCAGAATTCCAGAAAGCCCTTCTCAGTTGGAATGAACTCCCCATGTTAGATTCAAGAAGTGCAAGCGATAGCTACAGTAAATACTTCGATACTCGGGCTGTGTCCTCCTCGAGGCCAGAGACATTCATTAATTCTTCAGCTCTCAGATATATTGGGCTTCCTTGGAGAAGCCCCCATTTAAAGGACGTTCCTTGCCAAGGTTTTCCTCGTCTCTGCAAGTTACCGTCCACCCGATGACTAGCAAGTGATGTGTGAGATAGGCACCCACTCCCTTGGAGTTAATCCCAGATAACGCTGGCCAGTCATCCAACTCAGGAAGTTTCAGTTGCGGAAGAGTGTGAAGAAGTAGGACTAACAGCTCCCACCTACAACATCAACTGCCCCTTAGGTCTTTTCTCCAATAAATCACACCGTCCTAGCATTGTCGATGACATCACTAAAAATGTAGTTACCTACCCCGTCCGCACAGGATACGTGCCAAGACCTCCAGGAATTCTTGAAACTGGAGAGTGCCAAGCCCTACATATCATCACTCTCTGTTTGCTCGCCAAGACAATCACTGAGTGAAAAAAATGGTGAGTAATATATACAGTGTGGATATGATGGACAAAATGACATGTCATGTTCTAGACAGGAAGGAACAGGATTTTCTAACCGTGCCGGCTTTGCTCCTTAAAGCTTAAGAATTGTCTGGGGATGGAGCTCCATAGGCAGCATGCATACGCAAAGCACTGGGTTTGGTCCTCAGTACGGTACAAAGCAGGGGTCAGCTTGGGCTACACGCGACCCCTTCCCACAAAAGAAAAACATGAACACTTAAGAATTAGTTCTGGAATATTGGTTAGCTAAAACAGAAGCCATTGAAAGCACTGTCAAGAGAGGACGACTGTAAAAGTAAAACACAGTGACAACACAGTTTCCTTCCCTAGTCCCTCACAGGCAGGATCTTAGTGCCAATGCGCGGGGCTGGTGTCCTTCAAAACTTCCCGTTCTCTTCCTTAGCACAGACATGCTCTGCACACATGGTGGCCTCCTCGGGAAAGAGGAGTAACTGTAATCATTTCACCCTCGGTTATGTAATACGTAGTTTTCTCTCATACCCAACTTGGAAGCACTCCACGCCAGCGCAGTTTTTCACCACCCTTTTCCGCCAGGGGGGTGGGAACGGTTAATATTACTGTTTGAAATACAGGGAAGCCAGGTTTGCTTGGTTACTTTTGTTAGATAAGCCAAGAAGACCATTCGGCTCCTTTCTGAGAATCTTCCAGAACAATAGGAGATATCTGGGGTTTTTGTTTTGGGCATTTTAAAATCTCAACTGACTCATTTGGCGGTAACAGATGCATAAACCGGCATGTGGTCTGACCGCTGTGATCTATCCATAGGGGGGAAAACCTCCATAGCATTTCCAAATGAGGCGCATTCACCAGTCCCAGGCTTTTGCTTTAATTCCCTCTTATTGTTTTAATTGTACTGAGGGCTGCTGAGATGATTCAGTGGGTAAAGGCGCTCTTGCTGGGCAAGCCTGGTGACCTCACCTTAATCCCCGGGACCCGTGAAGAGGCAGGAGGAGAGAAGCAACTTCACTCAGTTGTCGTCTGGCTTCTGGCTGTGCCCTGTGTACACAGCTGCCCCCGTCAATAATAGTCATCGTAATCATAATAACTGGTTTGAAAACCGTAAAAGAAAAGCTATATTGACCAGCTCCCAGCCATAAAAACTAGAGATTCGTCATGGTGTGGAGACCAGTTACTACTCATTCTGTTGTTCCTGCAGCATAGTTTGCTCATGAGAGAGAGAAACTCATACAATACGTGTGCATGAGAGGGAGCTTACTGAAGAGAGCCTCTCACAAAGCTTGAAATTTACACATTGGAAATCCAAATTCAGTGGCCGCTAAATGCTTGATCACTCCTCTTCCCTCTTTACCTTTCCCAGGTCATACCAATAGTCTTTCATCCCTCCTTCAATTCCTATCTTTATCTCTGGCTTTCTTTCCTTCTCCGTAGCAGGCTGTCGGCTCACTCCTCAGTCCGCACTGCCCAGGAAAGCTGCTGCAGTCCAGCCATCTAGCTGAAAACACTTCCATCCAATATGTACTTCTTTTCCTCCCAAGTCAACTCTCTTCTTTTCCAGTGCTGAGGACTGAGCCCAGGGCTTGTACATGCTGGGTTAGCGCTCTGCCACCGAGCCACAGGCCCAGGCCTCGAGTTGTATTTTTGGGGCTTCTATCTGAGTATTTGTCAGCATTTAGTCTGTCCAATGTGATCTGTCCATGGGAGGAAACTCTAGATAGAGGAGTTCAGGTGGAATTTTATGTCTTTGAGCTCTCTGTCACAACTGTCACACAGCCTTGCTCTGAAGCCAGGCCTTCGAAGGTGCCGAGGAGAATGAGGGTGTCCCCAAGTGTGTTCAGTACTTCTGAACCTCTTGACAAATTCTGCCCACTCCCCTCTGGCAGGCAAAAGCGTACCTGTGCATCCCAATTCGTTTTATATGCGATTCCCAACAGACAGAAGCAAATAATTCAAAGCTTCCAATGGATGGTGTTTATTTCTGGAAAAAAAAAAAAAAAAAAAAGGGCATGGAAGAGATCATTGGTACAGTATTTTTCCAAACATTAACAGGAACATCATTTATTTTTTAAAACCAAAAGCTATTGCTTTAAATCATATGGCTGGTCATGGTAGTTCAGGCATTATCACACCTGCAATGCCAGTTGCTCAGGAAGCTGAAGGAAAAGGACTGAAGCCAGTTTGTTTTATAGCTTAGTGAGTTCCAAGCTAGCCAGGACTACATCATGAGACAGGAAAAAGAGGAGGAAAGAGAAGGGGGGGGGTGGATGATGAAACTCCATGACAAGAAGCAAGTCGGGGAGGAAAGGATCTATTCAGTTTATGTTTGTGCATGACAGCTCATCATTGCAGGAAGTCAAGATAGAAACTCCAGCAGGGCAGGAACCTGGAGGCAGAAGCCGATGCAGAGGCCATGGTGGTTTGCTACTTACTGGCTTGCTCATTACGGCTTGTTCAGCCTGCTTTTCTATAGCGCCCAGGACCACCAGCTCAGGGAGGCACCACTTATAATTGGCTGAGCCCTCCCTTATCAATCTTTAATTAAGAAAAAAAATGTCTTATAGGCTTGCTTACAGCTGGATCTTTTGGGGGCCCTTTATTAACTGATATTCCTTCCTTTCAGATGACTTTAGCCTGTATTGAGTTGACATAAAATTATCAGCACAGGAGAAGAGGGGAGTGTATGAGAGGAGAGGAGGAAAGAGAAGGCGAGGAGAGCACAGGAAGGCGTGGGGGTAGAGAAGAGTGTGAGAAAGAATTAGAACTGCTAGGAGGAGAGAAAAGAAAGGAGAGCTCTGAGCTGGGGTGTAATTCAGTTGATGGAGTTTGACCTAAGAATTCCACTTGTCAGGATGCACAAAAATAAATTATAAAAAAAACAGGGCATAAAATATTACCTAGAAATACTTTCACTATAGCCATGCATAACTAGGAAAAGATTACACATTCAACAGTAGAAACTCCAATGATAACTTTATCTTCTATGCATATGATCGGTGATCAAGCAACCTCTAAAAAATAACCTTTCAACAAGCCCGAACACAACATGAGAAAGGGAAAAGCCAGTATAGGAAACGACATGCACATTCCAATTGTATCTTAGAGTATTTGCCTATAATGCAGTTAAATTACAATGGAAGAAAATATATCAAACTTTTAACAGTGCTTATTTCTGAATCGTGATGATATGGGTAATTTTTGTTTTCTTTTTAACAGTTAATTTCTCCATGTAGTCAAAGATTGCTATATGTTTTAATTAAAAAATATATTCAAAATACATTTCTAATAACCCTCTTGATATTCTCTGGTTAAGTTTCCGCTTCCCACCTCACAGCCATAGGTCCAATGCAATGATCACAGAGGAGAGGAGAGAGAGAAGATGGCCGAACAATGACAAAACATGACCCAAACTAACATTTATTTATTTTTCAGTTCCCATTTTGTTGTTCTAGGAAGGGCCTCACAGAAGCCAGTAGTTTCCCTAGAACTGTCTGTCATCTGACTAGAGATGTTTTTCCTGCTTGTGTGTTTATATGTGTATGCATGCATATATGTTTGGAGTAGTGACATCGAGCACATTGGAAAGGCAGACGGCACATTATGTAGGCCCTGGGGATCCAGGCTTGGCAACACGCCTTTGCCCACTGAGCCATCTCCCCGGCCCTAACAGTAGATACTCATGGACCTGACTCAGCACGCATGATGATCACTTGTTTGATGCCCGTTCCTACCTCCTTCGATGCTCAGAAGAACTTGTGACAAAGATCTATCTTTTCTCCTTTTTAAACGAATAGTTAAATTTGTTATTATAGTATGTCAGCAAGCAAGCAGAGACTAAAAATATAGCTCCATTTCAAATAAAATATTTGGTATTTTGGCTGGCTGCGACACGTACTTGGCCACCCTTTCCTGGTTAAAATTCCCTGAGGTTTGTTTGTCTGGCTTATTGGGTTCTTTCTTTTAAGCATATCAGCATTTTTTTTTCTCAGCTTCAAGCTATTCTCATCTTAGTGTGTAGAAAGTTAGTAAGGAAGGCTGAGGCTCATGACTTCAGTCCACTAAAAATATAATTAGTGAAAAGTCAAGGCACTGACATTGCCCTGTCCCGAAGGACCAAAGGTCATGGTGATGAACTCAGACTCACATATTTGTCAGGGCCTATGGTCCAAGCGTCCAAAGTGACCGACTCGCCACACTGGGCTCCAAACAGCACACAGGCACGCCGAGGAAGTCTCCATTAAGAGCACTTGGATGGAAGGGGTTTGGAAACAAAACTTTTAACTTGTTTTGAGACAGGGTCTCAGGTATCCCTGGCTGGCCTTGAATACCCTTTGTAGATGATGATGGCTTTGAACTCCTGATCCTACTGTCCCTACCTCCCAAGTGTTACAATTACCAAGTGTGGGCACCCAGGCCCATTTTAGCAGGTACTGGGGTTGGAACCTAGGCTCCTGTGAGTGTTAGGTAGGCCCCTACCAAATGAGCTGCATCACCAACTAAACAACACAAAACGTGGCAGTGACCTTCTGGAGCCCATGCTTATTCTATTGTTAGAGACATATTATTGAGGGTCTGTGGAGTCCTGGCTTAGAATTGCTCTCACATACAGTTGTGAACTACATCAGAAAATCAATCTCTTCAATTCTGATCACATATGAATGAGATTAAAAAGATTTCTCAACTTATTTACAAGGCTGGGCTCCAGATGCCTTCTGCATTTTCTAAATAGCAGATCCTCTCAGAAAACTAATGTTTGCCACCAATAAATCCTTCAAAAACCACATGTCTTAGTCTAAGACAGGAATTCCAATAAGGGAATTCCAAAAGGAATTAGGATCAAGGCATGATCACGGGAATAAGGAGTCAGCATTTCAGCCCAAGATCTCTGGGTGAGGCATTTTATCCGTACAATCTCACAGCTTAAAAATAATCCTAGCATTTGGTTTTCAACAAGCATCAAATGGGGCCACCATGTTTTCAAAGCTCCTGCTGCAAAAACCAGTCCTAAGAGACCAAGTTTCAGGAAGTAACCTAAAATGCTACATTGGAAGGATGTTGATTTGCGTAGTTGCAATCAGAATGGCTTAAGGCTGTGGTTATCAGCCTTCTTAATGCTGCCACCCTTTAATACAGTTCCTCACATTGTGATGACCCCAACCATAAAATTATTTTTGTTGCTACTTCGTTACTGTAATTTTGCTACTGTTATGAGTCATATTGTAATTATTAGATATGTAGGATATCTAACATTCAACCCCACTGAAAGGGTTAAGAGGTGCTGTGACCCACAGGTTGAGAGCTTCTGTTTTAAGTCATGGCTAGTGTTGTTGTGTGTCTTTATCCCAACCTAGAAGGATGAAATGAGAGGCTGCCTAAGCTACACAGCCAGTATCGAGCCAGCCTATGATGAAGGGGAACTTTGTCTCAAAGGAAATGGAGTGAATGAATGGACAGCAAGGGAGTACATTGGCATTTAGCAAAATTCAAGTGGCCAGAAAACCCCTTAGGCACTGGAGCACGCAGTCGCCTGCTCCTCTCCCAGTGCTCATTACAAAATAAGAACTGAAGCTTAGAGCAGTGACAGTCGATGTATGTTTGCTAACAGCAGGAGCGGCAGCAGTGAGCATCTCACACAGGGTCCATACTTCTGGAAAAGAGGTCAAAATAGCTCAGGCAGGGCATTTACAGTCCCTGTGGCTTCTGCAAACACTGATAGGAAAACACGAACCAGGGCTGTGCCACACATGAAAACGTACACTCTGGCCAGACTCCTTCAGTGGCAGGCAATTCCTCCAAGGTACCTAAAGCATGGGGTCTTCCTGTGACTACAGAAAGGATGCACACCCCAAGTCCCAACCTACAATCAATTCTGGAAGCTCATCTCTCCACCTCCACCTCCAAGTCTGCATGCTGAAAGTCATCTAAGCTTAGCAGTGTCCTTGTCTGGGGAATAAATTTTGTGCATGAGACAACAGTAGTTCAATGGGCAAACTCTACAAATGATTTTGAACTTCTGATCCTCCTGTCTTTACTTCATAAATGCTGGGATTACAGATCTGTGTCTTCATGTCTAGTATTTGTGTACTGGGGATGAAACACAGGGTTTCACGTGTCCTGAGCGAGCACTCTACCAACAAAGCTCAGCCCTCAGTAGGTCATGTAACTGTATGATCAGATCATGAGCAGACTTCAGGCACTGGCTTATGCATTTATTCCTCAGCCAACATGTAATGCTTACTGTACACAGTCATTGTGTTTGGCCTTGAAAGTATGAAGATGAAAAATCTTATCTCAGCCCTGAAAGAAAGTCTAGTTTATTGGCAAAGATGAATAGAAAAATGTAAACAGGATGTGATACACACATTAATAAGAGCATGGACAAAGCCCTTTGGAAGCACAGAGGAGTTAACACATAATGATCTATTCTCCAAAGACAGAGCTTGGGCTGAAGAGATGGCTCGCTAGTTAAGAGCACTGGCTCCTCTTCCAAAGGACCAAAGTTTGATTTCTAGAACCCACATCAGCAACTTACAACCGCCTGAAACTCCAGTTCCATAGCCAACACCCTCTTCTGCTCTGTGAGCTCCTGCATGCGTGAACCTTCTGCACAGAAGCTCACACAGGCACACATGCATATACAAATACAAAACAAGGAAATCCTAAGCAGCAGCCGGTTGCTGACCCTGGCGCACTCACTCAGTTTCTTCCTTCCGGTAGTTGTCGGAGGGCTTTCTGCACACAACCGTCTTGCTGAAGAATGTTGCGCAACGCCAGACCTTCATGCCTTTTTGACCACCAAGCAAATTCTCCCTGATGGCTTTGGAAGAAGAGTGGCTACTGTGGTGAAGGGAGGGCAAAGCAGCACTCAGGAAGCAAGACGTTTCATTCGAACATAACATAAGTCAAATCTGGAAATGGGGCTGTGGAGCTGCTGTTCCGAAGCTCTCTTGAGCTTTCAAATTCCGCTGCCAACTCCTTCCTTGCTTCCAGACCTCAGGAAGATGGCCTCAACGGGTCTGCCTCTTCCAAACCCACGCTCCTCGTTGCTTTCATGCTGTGGTTTCGCAGCCTGTTTCAAGAATGCAATGCAAAATTATGATTTCATGGAATATTATGCAATTCTAATAGGAGGCCAGTAAAATTATCAATTTTCATCAATTACCAAGCATGTAGGTGACCAAACAGCGGCTCATTCTGTGGTTGCTTTTGGGTTTTTGTTTGGTGGTGGTGGTGTGTGTGTGTTTGTGCTATTTTGAAGCGTTTTGTTTTGTTTTTTTTTGAGAAAGGGTGTTATGATACGACTCAAACTTACTATGCAACTGAAGGTGATCTCAAGCTTTTGAAAGCTCTGCTTTCACCCCCCAGTGCCAGGATAACGGGCAAGTGTCATCATGCCTGGCTTATACACTGCGAAGGATCGATCCCAGGGCTTTATGTATGCCGCTGGACTTCCCCAGCCACGTTCTACAGTTTTAATGTTTGTCTCTGCTACAAAAAAAAAACAAAAAAAAAAAAAACCAATCATGTGGAAATGTAATCCCTGTAGTGGTGGTGTGTGAGCCTCCGCTCACAGGGAAGGATGGTGAGGAAGCACGTAAACCAAGGCTTGCTCCTTTCTTCAACCTGGAGCCACAGCACCCCTCCCCTCAGAGGACGCAGCAATCATCTTGGAAGCAGAGCAAGCCTCACCAGACACACATCCTGATAAACAGTTTGGTCTTGTACCTCCCAGTCCCCAGAGCTATGAGAAGTCAATTTCTGCCTTTTATAAATTACACGGTGTCAAGGATTTTGTTATAGCAGCATGAAATTGGTTAAGACAGCCCACAAAAGTAAAAATAAATGGAATGGCTACAAAGTGAACATGGACTTCTTCATGACCTCTGAGGGGTTTTTTGTTTTGTTTTGTTCTTGGGACAGAATAAATAACAGAGTCATGGCTGAGACATGGGACTCACTACTGCGTCCATGACGTCTCTTAAGCGAACGCCCCACCCCCAAAGATGACCCTGGTCAGGCTGGGCTCAAGGCTCTATTTGCAGATACCCTAACCCACTATGGGAATTTATCTGGAGTATTTATTTTATTTGATCTTCTTTCTGTCTTTCTTTTTCTTTCTATTTTTTATTCTTTTCTCATGTATTACATCCCAATAGCAGTTTCCCCTCCTCCACTCCTCCCAGCCCCTCCCCCACCTCACCCCTCCGCTGGGTTCACTCCTCCTCCATTTTCCTTCAGAGCAGAGCAGGCCTCTCAGGGATATCAACCAAACATAGTGTAACAAGCCACGATAAGACTACGTACATTCTCACATCAAGAATGGATGAGGCAACTCAGCAGGAGAAAAGGGCCCCAGAGCAGGCTAAAGCGTAAAAGCCAGCCTCTGCCTGCACTATGAGGAGTCCCACAAGAACGCCAACCCTCACAAGATGTTACTTATGCAGAGCACCTAGGCCAGACCTTCGCAGGCTCCACGATTGCCACTGCGGTCTTGGTGAGCCCCTGTGAGCCCTGCTTAGTTGAGCTGTGAGCCATATTTTCATGGTGGATCTGGGAAATTTTAACTTCTTTCTATCTTAGATAAAATTATTTAAGAAAGCTGCAGTGAATTTAAGTACTCAGATGACATAGGATAGGAATACAGAAAATGCATTTTATTTTATTAAAATACAATATTATTTAGAAAACGAAGTACTGCGTTATTTCAGAGATTCTAAAACTTTTGGTACTCTGCGTTGGGGTATCCTTATGATTTGTGTGTATGTGTATTATACCTACATTGCATATGTAGTACGTTTTTATTATGAAACTAATACATGTTTCTAATAGATTGATAGAGTATTAAGTAGTGAAAACAATACATATTTTCATCCAGGAAAGAAGAAGTTTTTAGTGTATGTTCATTCCTAACACCACTAAAATGAAGAAGTTATCGAATCCTGATATGTAGATAAGGAACCAGATGCAGATTGGAGAACTAACTTGACCAAGGCCATACCAGGAGTTTAGGAGTGGAGAAAGCCTCAGCAATTAACTCTGCATTGCCTCTGGAAGGCGACAATGACAAATTAAAAGAGAGATGCTAGTCTAGGAGAAAGAGCTTCAGCTAGCTGCAGTATATAAGATAGGCTACTCCAAATCCCTTCCCTCCAAACCAGTAAAAATACAAACAAAATCCACAGAAGAGCCAACAAGTGCCATGAGCAGAGGACTCAGAGAAAAGCAAATGCCAATAGCCAACTCATATCTCAACAAGTGCTCTGTCTGCTTATTGATAAAATTGTGTAAACTTTTGAAAAGATAAGCTTTTTGGAGCCTCCCAGTGGGTCTGCTGGATGAAGCAAGAGACCCGGAGTGGAGATGCCCTTGTGGCTAGGCACACGCATTGACTGCTCTTCTTTCCTCTTCTAGTCTAGCGCAGGAGGCTCAGCCAGCCTCCAGGCCCCTTCATAGCTGAGTAGCTCCTGATTCTCCATCATAACTCTTTGCAACCTGATGTGATTGTTTTATTTCTTTTGAACCTGGAAAGTTAATACTTCTGCTTCTCCTGTGTCCTAGCCATATGCTGCTCTCCATCGTGGTTCTATACGCATCTGTCCCTCAAGGGTGGTGAGTCTTAGTCATCGAGAACTCTCTGTAGTACTAGTGTAACATTTTGTATATAACAGGAGCCCAATAAATCTTTATGGAGTCGAAGTTAGTAGAACTGTGGTATGCTGAGCTCCCAGTGAACAGTCAAAGAAAACACAGGAGCTTGGAAAACAAAGAAAAATGAGAGAGAAGAAAGGGCCAAGTTAGGCAGATCAGCAATTTCTAAAGTATTCTCTGCAGAGCACAGATCCCATAAAATACTACCTGAAGAAAGGTCCTGGCTCAAGTAATTTTGTAGAGCACTACTTAATGTGCTCCTACCCTCTCAACTCTGTGGGGGATCGTAAGCAGTTGGTGCTCTGGAAAGACTTGTTCTAGCGTGCAAAAGTCAGTTGTTAAAATTTTGAAGAATTTTGTGAGCTCACTGCTATCCACACTCATTATTAAGTATTAAATTACATAAACTTACATTAACTTCCGTTAGAAACAAATGTGAGACTTATCGAAAACAGCTAATTACTAAATTTCGCTCTTGTGTGCTGCAGTAGTTCAGATCCGAAGTGTCCCCCAAAGGCCTGTGCACACCGCTGAGGACAGCTGCGAATGCAGCCTAACGAAAAACACAAACTGACTTAAAGCACCATGGGGTGTCACGCGGTAGCTTTTGGTGACTTGGTTTCTCGGTTCTCAAGTGTAAACTTTGAGGCTGACATTGTCTAAAGGTTAGACGTTCCTGGCCTGTGTGGTGAAGGCCTGGAGTCTCACGCAGTGCCACTGGGGTGACATAGAACCCGTAAGAAGTAGAGCCTAGAGAGAGGTTTGCGGTCACTGAAGACACGGCCTCAAAGAGGACAGTAGGGCCTACTTTCCTCTTCCTCTCCCTCCTCCTCTTTCTGTTATTCTTAGCCATGAGGTGAACAAACTTTCTCCCTGACAAACTCCAAAAGCAATGAAACCCCTCAACCACAAACTAAAAGCTCCAAAAACCTGTGATTCGAAAATACACTTTTCCTGTGGCTAGGTTGACAGAGTCAGGCATTTTGTTACAGCAGCAGGCAGCTAACTCGCGTCTGCTCTTGAAGCTCCATTTAGTGTCCTCGTCGTCGTCCCCGTGCACATGTGCTGGGTCACAGCGTGCTGCTGGGATCTGCCCCTCTGGTGACCATCAGCACCATGCTGCCGGCTAGAAGCCATCCACGGTGGGAGTATTTACACCGCAGAAATCAGCAGATCCTGCAAAGCAGAGTTTTTCTCCAGATAACTGGTTATTTGGCATTTACAGCACACTGTTGAAAAAATCCCAACAACACAACCTCAAACACCCGGCTAACCATCCACGTCCGTATATTCTAAACTTTATTTGATCACAGGAAACATCATATATCTCTATATGTAGCGATGGCCTCAAATTTACAACTCTTCTATGCTTGCCCCTGGAGCGCTGATGAAGTCATTTTAATGACCAACATCCACCTCTATCTTGAGACATAAACTTTTGGAAAGACTGTCAAGTTGCTAAGGCCTTTCCTGTTTGGTTTTTTTTTCCGTGTGTGTGTGTGTGTGTGTGTGTGTGTGTGTGGTGTATGTGTGTGTGTGTATATGTATGTGAGTGTATGCTGTATGTGTGTGTATGTGTTTATGTGTGTTTGTGTGTGTGTAAGGTGTGTGTGTGTATTTGTGTGTGTGTGTGTGTGGTGTATGTGTGTGCTGTGTGTGTTGTGTGTGTGTATGTGTTTGTGTGTGTATGGTGTATGTGTGTTGTGTGTATTGTGTGTATGTGTGTGTGTTGTGTGTATGGTGTGTGTGTATGTGTTTGTGTGTGTATGGTGTATGTGTGTGTTATGTGTATGGTGTGTGTGTGTGTGTGTGTGTTGTGTGTATGGTGTGTATGTATGTGTTTGTGTGTGGGGGGAAGGCTGATATCTGGAGTCTTCCCCAGCACTCTTATTCATGGAGCATGCGCTCTCAATTAAACGCGAAGCCGGATGGTACAGCCCCTCCGGTTAGTCAGTGTGCTCAGGAAACCCGGTGTCCCTGCCTTCCCAACACTGGAATGACTGGTGAGCCACCGGGCACACCTGGCCTCTGTGTGAGTTGAGACTCCAGTCTTCATGCTGCCGTGGCGACAAGAGCTCTAACCACAGAGCCTTCCCTAGCAAATCATCACACACAAGCTTGGCACATCTCATTCTAAGCTTTTCAAGCTATTGGGGACACAAAGGTCATCACCCTTCCCTTTAACACAATGGCTCTCAGCCTGTGGGCTGTGACTCCTGAGGGGGTCAAATGAGCCTTTCCCTGGGGTGGAAAATATCACCATTCATAAGAGTAGAAAATTACAGTTACAAAGTAGTAACAAAAATTATTATATGGTTGGGAGATGAGTTTTATTAAGCTGCAGCATTAGGAAGGTTGAGAACCACTGCCTCAACAAAAACCTTTGTAACAAAATATTTTATGTATTTCTATTTTATATGT